GATTCAAAAGTGAGACTGGATGTTGTGGAGCACAAGTTCCAAACAAGGATGTGACTGATAATGATGACTGATAATCTGCTGTTTTCTTTTCATGCAGTTGAAAATGTGGCTCACTGTGAGTTTGCAAACCTGAGAGATCTTCTTATCAGGTGAGTCTAAGTTTACTGCTGATCTTTATTCGAAAGGCATTTATCTTTATGAAATGGTCAGTTTCCTGATAGCATCAAAACTGCTCAGATATACAGTTGTGTAAATCTGGAGTTTATGAAATTATTAAAAATGATTGTAAGGAAAAAACATGCCAGTTCTTCATTAATAGACAATATGGGCTCAACGTCACATAAGTAACCTTGTTAAGAAAATGACTAACTTTATAGAGTTGAAATAGTTCAACCACAGCACTAAAGTGAACAGTGGAAGCAGAGCCTCTTGAGCAGCACATCTGAGTGGAGACAGTTTACAGATTAGAAAGTTTAATTTTGACAGCATAATCACAAAACAACTTTTGGCTGGGTATGAAATTTTTTTTTCTTCTTTTTCCAAATGGCCAGGTGAGAAGAGGCGTTGACTTCTTATCATCTTGACCCTCCAGTCGAGATGCTATAAAAAAAATGATATGTTGCTAGAATTGATCTGACTTGGTCAATGCATTACTGCACCTCTTCTCAATCCGCTGGATTCAAATTTCAGCTCAGTTTTACTTGGACTCCCTCTGGTAGATTTTCTACCAATCAGCGAACAGAAGAAGTTGTGATAATGCCTTCGATTCTCTGCTCTGCTGTAGGATTGTCGCCTGGCTCTAGTTTTAGCGACGGCAGCGCAGCAAGTGTGTGATCCCGTTCAGTTCAAACACATTTTTAGCACACATATTAAGACATGGACGGGTTATGGGCTACCTGCTGAACTCTTCAGTAAGGCTGTGGCTTCAGATGTTTCCTGTGGGAATTTTTTTTTCTTCCACATCAGCACTTTTCACAGGAAACCAGTTTGTGTCAGAGCCACGGAGCCCAGAAATTGTCACCGACTGTTCTCTGCGCAGGTCTCACCTCCAGGACCTGAAGGATGTGACCCACAACATTCACTATGAGACGTACCGCGTGCGGCGACTCAACGAGAGCAACATGAACTTCAGCGAGCTGGTCCTGTCCAGCTGGCCCCTGAAGAACGGGACCGACACATGTGAGACGGAGAGCCAGCTCTGATCCATCCTTCGTCCACCCTGTCCTCCTGAGCGCTCGCCAGGGTGAGCCTCTGCCCTCACATCACGGTGAAACACGGGAGAAGTTTTTTCTGTTTCTTTTTTGTTTTTAACAATGGGACCAAGTAGTGGAATACTTTGTCTGAGAAATGCGGGAGGTTTTGATGTAAGATAGAGGAAATGAATTGCAGCTAGATGTGTTGGACAGGGAGGTCACAGCCATGACCTGGGAGGACAAAGACAGGTGGGATTAAAGGAGGCTGTAGTGTGAACACACACTTCGTTATGATGTCCACAGATATGTTGGCCTTGCTGTGTGGAATGATGCTCAGTTCAGATGTTGCAGTGTGTAAAACAGGAGAATTAAGCATTAGTTAGAACCCCCTGCTGTGCCACGAACTTACCTTTTAATTTGACAAATTATGCCATTAATTACCTGCATGTGTGATTTGAGCTGCATTATTTTTGTTTTGTTTTTTTTTTTTAAAGGGCTGCCATTATTTTATGAATTTGATCTGTTAACGATAGAGCTAACTGACTGTAGAGTATATGAACTAAAAGATTTAACTGTAGGATTCGGTTTCCTTAATACTGTCATGATTTACGAGCTGCGTTGATTTGTAGGATTCATGCCCACACTGGACAGATCTGGGAACTGACTCTGACATGATATTCAATGTGATAAGCCCGAAGAAGGGTTTCTGTTAAAGCTGCAGTATGTAACTTTTGTAAAAGAAATAATAAAAAATAAAGCTTTTTGACGTATTTGTTTAAGCTGCCACCATGTCCTGACAGTTTGCTATGAAACAGATCATCTATGAACAGATCAATCTCCCCCACCTGATCCCTGTGCTGCTATTGCCGTCTGAAGGAATGCACTGACCAAAATCAACCAATCAGAGCAAGGAGGAGGGGCTTAGCGCTGTCAGTCATACTTGTAAACTAGCTTCTTTTTGTGCGTCTATGCTAGCCTTAGCATTCACGACAGGCTGTACTGATGAGGAGAAGCTGTATTGTAGCAGAAGAAGCAGCGTGTACATGAGCATGTTTGACAATACTAAGACCCTCCACCTGGCTCTGATTGGTTGTTTCTAGTTTGCAGAGGGGCTCTATTTTTTCACAGATTATCTGTCTCATGCTATACTATCACAACACCGTATAGCATGTGTTGTGACAGATGTCTCCTGTTGTGACAGTTTAAACAAATATGTGAAAAAAAAAATTCATAAACGTTACATTCTGTGGCTTTAAAGCTTCTTGAAAGCTTGCTGCCCACATCAAAGTGCCAAAATAACATAAAATATTGTCAATTTTCAGTTGTTTTTCAATTTAAAGTGTAACTTTACAGAAATGTTTTTAAGTAAACTCCTTGTTCTTGCTGGATTGTTAGTGGACGTTTAACTGTAGCTTTGCTCAGTGCGCCTCCCGGTGGAGAACAAATAAAGAGAACATCCATCATCAAACGTTTTCTGCCAGAAAAAAAAATCTGTAAACAGTGGAAGAAGGAAAAGTTTCATGCTTAATGAACATCCTCTGAAAGTGTTTTACGAGCGTTTAGTAAACCATGTGTTTGTGTTCCTACTGAGACTGAATAGCTGTGAAACATGTAGCATGAAAACTAAGTGTGTTCAATAAAGGGAGCTGCCTTTCTCAACATGTTTGAGCTGTCCACTGTTTCCAGGTCAGATGTCGCTTTTCATGTACTTCATGTTTCCTTTAACGGTTTGGTCGATTTTACAAAACCCAAAGTTAAACTAGTCATCTGACTTTTTTGTCAAGCACACAAAAATACATTTATTTACATTTTATATGGCAGACCAACATAAATTGGTGTGTCATTGTGAAGGGGAAGAAAAGCAATACCTGGTTATTAAAATGTTTGTTTTAGAAATAAAACAAATCTTCAAGCTGTGTTGTGCATTTGTGTTGAGTCTGCCAGCCCGTTCCTTCCTGTGGAAAGCAGAATGCATCTGATTTCAGGTCTCACAGTCTCACAGTTGGATTCACATGCGGAGTAACATTTTATCCACACATGAATCTGTGAGTAAGGATTCACCCCATTCGGTTCTCAAAGAAATCGATGCCTTTATACAATTGATACAAGAAAAAAGATAATCATTTGTGTCAAAATTGATCAAGCATCCCATTTCATTTACCCAAATCATTTAACTTTGCTACAGCATCCAGAGAACATGTGACTCTATGCAGCCAATTAAAAGGGTTTTCAGAGAAACGTCCCTGTGAGCCAAAAGGACAGAAAAAACAAGAGATGCCAAACGATGCTGCATGCTGTGCTAATGCTACGAGACTGATCTTTCGGGGCAACTTAAAAAGTTTGGTTTTGATATTATTTTTACTTAAAGCGACTGTGTTCTGTTTGTAGATTGTCAATATATTGTCTCTCCTGCCTGGAAATTGAGCTGTTAGCGTGTCATGACACGCTGTCATGACACGCTAACAGTGTTCAGTCAGAGGCTTCTTCAGATTCGTTGCAGGACTGACTGCTATCCTTGCTCCTCGCCGTGTTATCGTTCACAACTCTTTGAAGATATTTGGATGATTAGAGTGGTGACAAAGACGTGTTTTCTTTCAGGATAAATAAAGTGATTTTTAATTTAATTTTCACCTGATTGCTAAGTCCCACACCATGCAACACTTTGTTCTACTGAAAAATGTTAATCAGCTGACGGCTGCTAAATAGTGAAGCAGCAAAACAAACCGATGTGTCCCCATCAATTAGCCCTCTGTTTACTGGTAAATACATTAGAGGCCAACATGGTTGAAAACTAAGGTTATAGAAGGTGACAAAGCAGAAAATAGCAGGAACCCATAGCAGCCTCCTCTGTTGTTCATTAATAAAGGGAATATTATACAAAAGTTTCTAGAAAGAAAATTGACTCCGTTTGGAAAAATATGTTTAGTATTTTTTGAAACGGAATTTATTTTAGTTTAGAACAATCCAATTTTTTGTCCCTCACATTTACTTGTAATTAAGAGGAAGGTGGAAACACACAGAGACTAATGACAAACAGTTATGATTTAATAAAATAACTGCTCCACTTTATCAAATGTGCATATTTCCCTTAATGATTTTAAAACTATCCTTGATAGTTTCTAATATCTTAATAGTATTTCAGTTTAGCAAACAGGAAAGTGATTCATCGATCATATATTTTTCTAAACAAAGTCTGAATTGTCCCCTACTTATTGAACAATTCCAAATGTAATATTTAACATATTTTTCTGATGACTGCAGAAATATTGCAATCTTGAACTGGCGCTGTGACAGCTGGTGTTGGGCTCCAAAGCTTTATCTGTAAGGCAACATTTAAATGTATAAGAAATAAAGGAAGCATTTATTTGTGCTGAATTTATATAGTTTTGCTTTAGTTTTTCACACGAGTGATAAAGAATATTGCATTTTTCATATTTTTGCATTTTTAAAATGCACTTGTAAAAGTTGTACAGTCAGTTCTTTAAAAAGTAAAAAGTCTCTGTAAAGTTTCCATGTCAAATCATTCTCATAATGAGTGGAAGTAAACTATATTTATCTTTTCTTATTATTTAAAACCAAATCCTTGCATTTTGTTTTCTCTCCAGAACATTTTAATTCTGACAATCATCTTGATGAACTTTTTTGTAGTTTAATTCAACAGTAGCACAGCAAAAGGAGTTTGCCTGACTCAAAAGTTGCGTTTCTTTCGAGGGCCTCTTCTGCCACCTGGTGGTCATTCACCAAAGTCAGTTCAGCTCCAGCATCAAAACACAGAGAAAGACAACAAACCTATCAGTTTCAACAATGTCAGTAAATTGTCAGTTTTTATTTTACTGCTTAGTTAAACTTGTGCTGTACAAGGGTTGTAACAAAATAGTGACAGATGACCAAAAAAGACTGCAGACAGTAATAGAAATGATTTGTCTTAGAAAATGACCTGGGGTGATGCTCCGTAGAAAGGTTAGTTGTTTACAGCTACGAAATGACTGCGCATGAGAGCTCATGATATGTAAACAGACGTGTGAATTCACTGGAAGCTCATCAAAGGCAAAACATGGAAAGCACAAAAAATAAAAATAAAATAAAACACACAGCTGTGTCTCACACTGGGAGTCGGAGTTGGAGAACACAGGATGAACGGTCTGGGGCAGATGAAGCAGAAATATTAGTCATCATTAAAGATGGAACGTTTTACCACTGTAGATACCTTCAAAGGATCATTCAGGATTTTTGCTGTGAGAAAAATCTGTGGGCAATTAATACATAAATCCATCGACCTACTATAGATCCCTAAAAGAATTCATTTATTATGAATCCAGATCGAATGGTGCTGGAGGCTAAAGCTAACGGCTAGTCAGAGTGGTGCCAGGATGAACCTTCAGTCCAGTCATAAAGTCTCTATTCTACTTTATAAACCAACTTTATAAATAGTTATAAACCTATAACCATTGTCATGTTTCCACTCAGTTGTTATTTACACAGGACATTGCAGTAGGAGGCAGAGCACCACAAATGGTCTTCCTGTGGCTCTGTGGGCAGAGGAGTTGTCTTGCGTTTGGAAGGTTGTAGGTTTGTTAAAGTACCCTTGTGCAAGGCACCCCAAATGGCCTACTGATATGTGGCTCTAGCGTAAAGTGCTTTGAGTGGAAAAGCACAGTACAAGTTCAGTTCATTTACCATTTGTGAGAAACACTGGAAACTAAGGAGCAACGCCTGAAACAACAGTTCATTTTTTTTGTTATGCAGCCTTTAGGCCGGCTTTACCGTCATGAACTTTTCAACCCCAGGATTTGCTTGCACATAATTTCAGTGAAGTCCACAGGGTGCTAAATTAAAAGGCATCGCAAACAGCAAACACCGACTTGGTTTCGCACATAATTGTGTTAAAATCTTTTCATTTCAGAGCCAAACGGCTTCAAGCAGAAGAGCATGAAAACAACTCCATGGCATTCTGTTTATTTTAGGGATGGACTAATACAGTTACAATGTTTGTGATGTGCGTGTTTATGTTCACATACATGTCTATTCACTAATGCAGCCTTCAACCCAAAAAATATTTATCAAAAGTTGCAAATTAATTTGATTCCTATTTTTTAACCAAATTCATTTAGACCTGAATTTTAACAATTTTAGCGTGTTCCATCATGTATATGTGCTTGATACTGATCTGGTCTCTGTAGTTCAGCTCTCCAAGAAGCCCAGTGGTGATGCAATGCCTCCCACTTCCAGTCTAAATAATTATGGTGGCGCCTGAAAGGGTTTTTTAAATCCTCCATGAATTCCACTTTAGTTTTTCTCTTCTGGATTAACCATGAGTGTCAGCCCAACCAATATAATTTGGATTTACACACCGAATGAAGATGTCAAGAGGATTATCTTCTGCAGATAAGATACTAACTGCTCATATGCTCTTGTCTGAACCTCACCTAAAAAACCGTGAACTGTCCCTTTAACTGAGTTAAAGGGACAATTCTCACACTCCCCCCAAAAAAATACCCAAAGGCCGAAAACAAAAGGTTGCGCTGAAGCCAGATTGCAGAATTATCTCCGGCTCTTCCCCACGTTTCTTTTTGCTCCAGTAGTTTTGTCAGTAATAAGCTTCCATAGAATCCTCAGAGATCTTCCCCTTTTCTAAAAATTAGACAATGTAAACATTGCTCAGCCATGGCAGAGGTTGAAGTCACACATTATAAGCTTGTATGTATATCACACTCTGTATTTTTGCTGCCACATTCAGCACAATGACAGTAAATAGAACATCACAGCTGAAGATCCCATTATTCCGCAGGGAGCAAACAGCAATACAAAGTCGACACAGACTTGCACAGAGGAAAATATACTTCAGTATTTTATGACGGTTTAAAAACTTGAAGTTACTGGTCATGATGTCAGTGGTGTCCAAGAGTTTAGATCAGTTTGCTTAACAGGGCCTGAAATGTCACACCATAAATAATAATAATAATAATAATAATAATAATAATAATAATAATAATAAAATTGTTAACAATAATATTAGAAAACAGCAATTATTGAATAAGCTCAATTAAGGTCACACTTGAAGCAAAAACTGAAACTAAAGAGCCAAAAAATGCCATTTTCAATAAATAAATTCTGAAAATAAGACACGTTTATTTAAATAAATAAATACATGAATAAATAAATAAATGTCTGTACACCAATGAGATGCTGAACGTCTAGAATTAGCCGTCTCCAGGCAAAAACATGCGCAGGGTTTGACCCCTGCCCTGCTTCACGGTGCTCAGTACTCTGCTGCCGGACTCTGGTCTGACTGCGTTAGGGCAGACAGGGGAGCGCCGGTGGACCCGTCCAGAAACCAAGATGGCCGACTCCCGGAGTTACGGGAAACGTTACCGCTTTTCCTTTTTTGCCCTGTAGCAGATAAATTTGAGCATGTCCAATGTTTGGGAGAAGCTTTAGTGATATGGGTTCGTGACCTCGGCTGTGTCTCAGGCCTTTCCGGCTCAGACTCGAACTCTTCAGAACATTTAGGCACCGTATTCAGAACCCACAAGGAATGACTGGTGAGAGTTCGGTGGTCTCAGAGACCCCACTCACCACTACCTTCTGTAAGCACATTTTCCCAGAACCTCTTTATCCACCTGTAGATTATGCTAATGGTATAGTTCAGTTGCAAAGCCATGTTGGGTTTATTCCTTTGTTGTTATTTTCTTTGCTTACAAGATGATTTTATGAACTGTCTAAGATTCGCACCGATCATGGCAAGAAGCCTTTCCAGTTTGGTTCTTAATCAAACTGAAATCACTCAGCAGACTTAAAGGGCCAGTACCATGTGTTTTCCATGTGGTGCCATTTTACAGCACACTCAAGTCACCATGTTAACTTCATTTGTTCTAAAACATGCTGTACATATCAAATATGGCTTAAAAGTAATTTGACTTTGTGATTTAGCGCCTTGAAATTTGGTCTCTGTCTCTTTAAGATTCGCCTGCTGCTTCCGACTCATGCAAATGCAAATGTTTATATTTTTGTGCTATTTTGGCTGAATTTCTGAGTTTGTTGTTCTTTTAGAAAATGACCTTTTTGAGTCGACTCAAAAGGCCAGATAGTGATTAATCAATCACAAATACTTCAATAATCGATTAATTTGATTAATATCTTCTCTGTACCTTTGCTTGTACGAGTGAAACCTTGAATGCTGCTTAAGTTTGAAGTGTAATAGTTTTAGATAGAATCACTCACAGCAGGAAGGAGGGAAGTTTCTTCTCAAACCTTTTTAGTTTATAGTTTGGAAACTTAATCAGTGATGCCCACTTATATCTGATGGCTGTTTAGATGTTTATTACCATTTATTACAGTTCATTCCTTCTGGGCGTTTACTTGGTGTTCAACATTTTGGTTTTTCATTGTTTTGTCAGTGAACGCACCAGCACAGCCACATTCCACTATCGACTTTACTATCATCCCATTTGTAACAGAACCACGTCAGAAACATCCAGGATAGAAATATCTATTGCACAAATTCCATCTCACCTTCGTTTTCCCTATGACTTCAAAGCCTAAAAAAAAAAAGCCTCTGATTGTGGTTCTAGAGCGAGCCGTGGCGTTTCCATGTAAGCCCCGAGTCTCTGCCTGTTGACGAGACGTCCTTCTAATAAACACTGAATTCACCGAGCCTTCGCGTCAGCTGCTGAAGTAATCTGGCTTTGCAAAATGCATCCCCATCCCCCTCCTTTGGTGTTAGAAGAATCAGAGCCACACAAATTCAAATGCTCTATAATAACACTAACATCAGATGTTTTCTGATTAGAAAAAGGTGAGAGAGAAAAAAAAAAACAAGAAAGAAACAACAAAACTATCGAAACTCAAACCTCAAGTTTGGAGGAGGGTGACAAAAAAAACTCCTCGACTGAAAATCCTCTGCTACCTGAATGTGTTTAGTAGCTGCAGTGCAGATGTGGCGAAAAAATTAAAAAATGTCACTGAAAGTCCCGAAGCGGATCGGTTTGCAGCGTCTCTTCAGCCCCATGTCACCGTCACACAAAAACAGAGGAGCCAACAGATGATGGCAAGAACCAAACAAGTCAGATAAGCGTGCAGCTACCCCTCATGTAACCCTCACAAAACAAAAAAAAAACTGATGTAAACAGCTGTTTTAGATCTTCTTTTGACTTCTTTTATGTTTATTTGTCTCAACTGTTTCTTTGTTTTTGGTTTTTGTTTTGTTAGATTTTTTAAATTTTTTTATTTTTTTGGATTTCAGTTAAGACACAGAAATGGGGGAGAGAAAGGGGATCCCAAAGACGGGAAGCTGTGAGTCAGTGACACACACACTTCACACGCAGAAGCAGGGAGAAGAAAAAAAAAGAAGAGATATTAATATGGTCCGTCCTTATTTACTTGGTGGCTTTCTGTCCAGAAACGCAGAGTCTGAAACTGAGCGAGAGAAAAGGAAACCTTGGATCCCTTCTGAGGAAAAATAAAATAAAAGGGGCTACTGGGGGAATATTACAAGAGATGACACGTGTCAGCACTCATGATCTTCAGGAGTTATATTTGCTTTACTTACATACAGTATACGTTTTAGTGTGTTTGCAGTGTATGAGCTTATGAGTTCAAACAGCTAAAAAAAAAATCTTCGTCTCCATCGAACAAAAAGTCTTTAGCCTCCTCTTTCCCTCTTCGTTGCATCTGGGGCGTGCACGCTCTCCCCTCTGCGTCCGCTTCATTTTTTAGAAAAACTCCTTCCAAGTCCACAGAGAAGCTTCCTCCTCCTTCCAAGTCCTCTGTTGATTGTGAAAAAGAAACTTGCTGTCAGACAAGACGTCACACCAAGCTCTTCACGCCAGCATCTTCTCAAACGCAGCTGGGACGCCATGCCTCTGGATGTGGCATGTCCTATCCTGGACCTTCCTGCCTCTCAGTCTGCCTGCCAGCGAGGGAGTCCGTTCAGATGGCTGGGGGGGGACGAAGGGGAACGGGTGAGGAGGAGTGATGCAGGGACAGCTCGGTGTGAAAAGGACGAGGACGGGTTGAGGAGGAAGGTTGACGTACGGCGTCTGTCTGATGAGGGCTGGGCCGTCTTACTCGATGACCATGCAGTGGGGCAGGTGCTGGGCGTAGTACTTGAAGAGCTCGGCCGTGGCTCCTGGACAGTTGGTCAGCTCCAGCTCCTCCAGCTCCTGCAGCTGGATGAGGCCTGACAGCCCGGTGGTGGTCAGCAGGGGGCAGCCTGGAGGCACAGAGGACAACGGTCAGCCCAACTGCAGCCGCCCCTCCCTCACCTGATGCACAACAACAGTCATCCAGCAGCATCAGCTGGTTTACTGCAGCTGAGCAGGGATCGCCACAAATCACCGTGAGAAAAGATCTCAGCATCTGCTGCATAATTTAACAGGTTAGTGTTTGAAAATCATCACAACAGCTTTAGGGTAGATGCTATAAATGAACAACGATTAAAGCTGAAGTGTGTAACTTTTAGAAAAAAAAAACAAGTACATATTTGTTGAAACTGTCACCGTGTTGTAAGAGTACGTCATGAGACAGGTTACGTTTCGCATTTAGACTCCACAGGACTTTTTTGTGGGATTTATAGGGAAACATAAATCAAACCTGCAAGAGACAGCAGACGGAGACTTCTCATCCCAAACAAATGCTGCAGACCAAAATCCTGCACCTGAAAAACACGGAAAGTTTTCTTTATGATTAAAGATTAAAGGCTGAGAGGAAACATGCAGTATGTCTACACACCCCGATTCTTTACTAATGTAATTCCAACCACAAGCTAAAATATGTCATTTCATGACATTTCATCCAATAACGACACAGAGGAACCCATCATAGTAAAGATGCAATTTCTTTTCAAATGGTCTGGACTTTGATTAGGTCATTCTTAATCATTTCATCAATAATTCTCTGAATAATTTAAATTAATGAGCCACAACCACATTTAATTTCCCTCTGGGATTAATACAGTATTTTTGAATTTGATTCATTTCTGACCAGCTAAAGACATCTGCACAGCCTAATTCTGCCACTACCATGCTTCCCTGTGGGGACGCTCCTTTCAGAGTGATGACATCATGCACCAGTTTGTGTTGCTCCGTCATATAAAATTCGAGTGAAACTACATTAAAGTTTGTGGCAGCAAACTTTGGCTGGGGGGGACGAACTTTTCCAAGATGTGTGAATCCATTGTGATGCACTGAGGCAGAAAGTGGCACATAAAGGTCACTGTTTTGACCTAAACTCGACCTTTGTGAATCATTAGCATGAAACTGAAGAAACAAACAAAGACACAGAAGGGTTTGTTTAATAAACTAGAGATCATATGTGGAATAATTCTTGTGAGGAGTTAAAACCACAATCAAAGTTTGATTATGATTTGTTTATTTTCTCTTATGAAAATAAATGCCCATTGGGCAAATTTGTCAGAAAAACATACATGACTGTTTTCATTTTGATAATACTATATGTATAATAAGGTGAAGGTCTGATGAGCTCCTGCTTCCTCCTGCAGTTTTTTCTTTGTGTTCTCGTCATTGATGGGAACATAAATATTGTTTTTTGTCTGTTAGTGTATTACTTTTGCATTACCTGACAGCACCAGCGCAGATAAAGGCTTCTTAGTGAAGACATGGTGGACAGGTAGCCCAGCCCCGTGTCAGTGATTCGCACACACCTGCAGAGAGACACAAGACGTCATCATCACTGCAAGTCAACTGGAAGAGCTTTGCTAGCAGCTTGAGTTTAAATTGATTCATTTTTATTTGTTTATTTGCATTTTTCAATGACTTTTCTTTTAAACAACCATCATGATGTTTTTGACATTAGAGATATTTTCAGTCAGAAGGCTTTATCGGCTTTGGTCCTTCTTGATGATCTGGAAGCTTCAGCTCAAAAAAGCTCAAAAAAGTTGATTTTTAAAGGACACTGGCCCTTTAAAATGTGTAAGGGTTATCAGGTTTTCAGATTTTATGATTTGTATTAGAAAAATATATATCATGCCCCTTTCCAATAATCAAGGGGCATGAATACGTCTGCAGAGTAATGTACAATGTTTCTAATTACATTTTTCTACAATATACCTGAAGATGCCTGGAAAAAAAAAAAAAGAAGTCCCCTAATGACTACAACGTAAACTGATGTCTTCATGTTTGACTTGAGCTCAGGTTTGGACTTAAAAACACAAAAGACCCAAAGCTCCCTGACCTGTCTAGCACCAGCTCCTCCAGTTTGTGCAGATCGCAGGCGATGTACTCCAGGGCCATGTCTGTGATCCGGGGGCACCAGGACAGGTCCAGGCTGCGGAGCTTCCGCAGATTCTCGGCCACCAGCTCCACGCCATCGTCGGTGATCTTGGAGCAGCCTGAGAGGCTCAGGGCGGTCAGGTTGGGCAGGCTGTGCACCATGTTCACCACACCGTGGTTGGTGATCTCCCAGCAGGACTGGAGCCGTAGAGTGTGGGTGGTGTAGCCCTGTGAAACATTTCATTCCAGTTATGTAACTTAATCAGGAGAGAAATGACAAAGCCGGAGCGGGATGATTAGCTTTGTTTTGCCTCTATCCTCCCTAAAGAAGTGAGGGAACAGTAAGGGAACGCAGGCAGTGACGTGTGACGTTCTTGTTTTGGCAGTCTACCTGTTTGGCTGTGAAATAGGCCATGGCCGTGTCAGTGACGTGGTAGGCCTGCAGGCTCAGCTCTGATAGGTTGGGCAGGAGCTGGGAAATAGCAGCGATGGCGTCATCCGCCACATTGATGCAGTCACTGACGCTGAGGGAAGTTAGCCTGGCATTGAGACTGGACCACAGGCCGGCTTCCGTGAAGTCGTTGCAGCCTGACAGCTCCAGGTGCATCAGGCCCTGCATTTGCTCCAACATGACCTGCAAAATAAAGGTCAACACATCGGGCATCACGGCTGAGACACTGACACGCAGCACAGCTGAGCCATGCAAGCAGAAGAATGTCACAAAATGGAAATCTTCAACTCATAACTGTAACTTTAAATGTCATATTCTTTCTATGTACTGACAATGAAGTTGTAAACAGTACAGCCCTTTCTTTCTGGGGTTGAAGTTCATCAGAGGTTTGGCTGCATGTGCATGGCTGTCCAACGTTATTACAGGTCGTCCAGATTGTGTATTTATTTAATCTGTAATCTGTCTGTAAATGACAGGTTACATTATATCATATCATATTATTTAACATATAATCAGTTTCACCATAATCCAGATATCTGAAACCAGTTTATGACTAGACCTATTAGTTAATTAAGATATCTCTAATCATACTTTTACTACACAATATACATTTCTATATATGTAAATACATTCTGACTAGTAGAAATTTTATCAGATTTACCGTTTTTGTGTAAGTTTTCATTTTATTTTCTTTCGCAAAGTTTTTTTTATGCTGAAACAGTTAAAACATTTAAGTCCAACATACAGATTAATCCCTTTTCTTCAGAACAGAAATTAATCACTATTAAAATCTTTTTTTTCAGAAAAACTAAGCTAAAAGAAAAAATAATTTTCTATTATTGAAAATATAATAATAATAATAATAATAATAATAATAATAATAATAATAATAATAATAATAATAATAATAATAATAATGATAATCTTTTTATGTGATTTTGTATTTTTTGACAATATTATTTTCTTATATGGACCTATTTATATCTTTAATAAAGTTGCTGATGTTGATAATGAATTCAAGATATCTACAACAAACACTATCTGAAACACATATTTCATATATCAACAAATAAATGATGACTAGTCATAGAGTGAAGTTGAGATATGTATTTGTTCTGACTTGTCTTCAGCAAACTGCTCCACAAAAAAAGCCACGGAGATGAATTTGATGATCATTAAAGATGATTCTAACTAGCAGTGTCCCACAGAGACACCTAATGGGACAAAGTGTCTCTCACTCAGAGCTGCGGCAAATGGCCGCAGCTATGAGTGACTTCAGTGCAGCACAATTATAAAGCATAAAGTCCATGTAATAAACTTTAGTTTATGTAATTATGTGATAACTAAAGTTTGTTAGTTTGTAGCTGACAAACTTTCCAGACTTCCCCGTTATGACAACGTGGAAAAAGGTTTTTGATATTTTGGCAAATTTGACTGAACATAGAAAACCAATAACTCAATTTTACAAAATATTCAGACCCTTTGCCATGAAACTCAAAACTGAGCCTTTTCCACTGACCTTTCCTGAGTTCTTACATAAAGTCCACCTGTGGTAAATTCTGTTGATTGGACTTGATTTGGAAAGGAACCATCAGAGGTCAAACACCAAGCATGAACTCAAAGGAATTATCTGTACACCTCAGAGACAAGATTATGTTGACAGACTAATCTTGGGTGGGATCCAGAAACATTTCTGCTGCCTTGAAGCAGAGCGCCCAGTGGCCTCCATCATGGTTTGGAACCAGCAGGGCTCAGAGCTGCTGGCCGTCTGAACTGAGCCACTGGGGGAGAAAGGCTTCAGTCAGGAAGGTAACCAAGAAACCGATGGTCACTCTGTCCAAACTGCAGCGTTCCTCTAAGGAGAGAGGAGAACTTTCCAACAGGACAACCATTTCTGCAGAAATCCACCAATCAGATTCAACAAAACCAGAGGCTGGAACTGCTGCCAAAGGTGCATACTAAGCAAAGACTGAATCCTGTGGAGATTATACTTCGACAAAAAGAGTCTTTCCAGTCTTTTTGAGATTATGGGGGGTATTTGTTTGAATTCGGAGGAAAGATATACACTCAATATAATCTGGAATAAGGCAGAACGATGTGGAAAAACAGAAGTGCTGAGAATACTTTCTGGATACACTGCAACTGGGAAATGATGTTGGCCCACACCTAATTCTAGTCCTGATCAGGAACATTCCTCCATATAACCCTCCCTAGACTGACAGGGAGAAGCAGCTGCTTCTGGAGGTCATAATAAACTCTTTAACACACACCTAAAAGCTTCAGACCAACAAACTGTCATTGAGAAAAACTCACTTTCCAATTATTTTTGAACCTTCTATGTTTGGTTAGCAGCACCTGCTGACTGCTTTCCTCTGGGGTCCTATGGGAGCAGTCAGGATGCAACTGCTTTCCCTCAGCATGATGTCATCACTAAAGCTAAATGTAATTTTTACACACTAGTGCATTTGAGATTATCTAACTTCTAAAATGCAGCTTCCAGCTCCACCAGGGAGATACTTTGAGAAAACTTCAAATAATGAATATAAATAATGTACAGAAAATGTTATCTAATGAACCAGGAGTTCAAGCTTTCACCAAAAGAGAAAAAAACACTTGAAAACAGGAATGTCCATATATAGATAACACTGCCAACAATTCCAGCCTTCTCCATGGCAACCACTCACTTATCCTAGAATAGAAACCTAGAACATTACGTATGGAGAGCCATCTGAGGATTATTTCAAAGCATGATGTGCTTTTGTTGCACAGCTAATGAAATCTGACAGTAAAGAGCACAACAATGAAGTGAAAATAAAATTGTTTATGAAAACAAAAATTCATGCTGACTCATTTTAGTGACATTTGCCCTTCTGCTTTGGTAAAGCAAAATAAAATCTGCTGACATGAGCAGGAGTCCTGCTTCACAGGCAGCGCAGCTGAAACTTCGCCTCCAAATCAGTGGTAATAACAGAAATGTAGGGCTCATGTGATTTGAAAGAAGTGTTTTCATAGCTAGAAGTTCACATAGTATCTAACAATACATTCAGTTCACTCTACACGACACAAGAATGAGACCAACATTCTGGAAAAAAACAGAGTCCCTATGCAGGTTTTACAAATCATTACCTGGGATTTTAAATCACCTGCTATCTGATATCAGGCTAGGTTTGTCTAGTCAATATTTTCCCAGATCTAGTTCAAATAATAATCCAAAGCCAAAAAACAATGAAAATGTTTTGCTTTGGGGTTTTGACAAAGGTTTCATAAATCTCCAACAGGGTTTCAAAAATGACAAAAATTAAAAATGAGTGCAAAATTATCCCGTTTCAGACTGATCCATCTATGTACGTTAGATTTTCAATGGGAATGGTCACATTCCATTCAGACTCATTGAAAAGTTCAGAAATATTGTTTTAATTTGGGGAGCTTAGTAACTTTAACATTGTTAAAAAGCAAAAAACAAATCGTCATCCTTCTATGACTTCCTGTCATCTTCTTTATGGTTTTCAGCAGTAGTAACATGTTTATTCATCACATGTGATGATGCATCACATGTGGTCAACAGCTTTCGATCACCTGTGACGTAATGTGAAATACAAATCCATTTCTGTTTTGCAAAAAACATCTATGTGTAAAATAAAATGTGAATTTGTTCAAAATTGGCATCTTTCCATTAATCTCATTTATTTTGGTAATTTCAACATGTGCAATTCTATGACTAATGGAAACAACTTCTGTTGACAAACCTGAGAAACTCAGCATTGATTCTTCAAGGTAGCACCACTGCTATCCAGTGATGCTATCCGTTGCCATCGCTGGATAGCATTTCAGTAGCAAGGCAGACTACATTTTCACAAAGTAATATTTCAACATTTCAATATCTCACACAACAATATTGCATTACACCCAGGCTGGCTCTCTCTGTGGAGCTTTGATCTTTTCTTCTGTATCTCGGTTAATCTGTCCTTTTACTTTCTGCAAACACTAAGTTAGCTTTCAACAAATGTAAAACAAAAATCTATCTGCCAGCTGGAGAAAAGAGCAGAGAGCAGTCAGTATGAGACAGCAGCACAATTTACAAACAGCAGGTCAGATACTGCCAGCAGAAAAAAAAGTAACATTACAGAAAAAGTGATCCAGGATAAAAGAAAAAGTGTGTGTGTGGTCTTGTATTTGCTACATTGTAAGAATCATTTTCCTAACACACAACGTTGTGGGGACCGGCTGTTATTTATGGGGCCCAAAGCCTGGACCTCATAAAACATTCTGTTTATAAGTTAGGGGTCAAGTTTAGGACTGAGGTGTGACTTTAGGTTGGGGTCAGGATTAGTCAATAGAAATTAATGTAATATTAGTGGAATGAATACAAAGATCTTGTGAAGATGGACAGATACTCTGTGTTTGTGTATGTGTGGGTGTGTAATACAGAGAGAGAAAGAGAGAGAGAGATACTGAACATACCTGAGAAGAGTTTCAATATTACTGAAGATCTGAAATAATGATGATGACAATGACGTCATCATTGGAGAACATCAAGAGCAAGCTTACCTCCAAACCAGCGTCTGTGATGGTTGACCTCTTGAGGCTGAGAGAACGAACTCCCTTCTTGGACAGCGGGTAGTTATCGATAAACTCACAGATGTCGAGGTCCGAAACCCCCACTAAGCAGAACGACTGGAAGCCCCGCAGAGCAAAGGCCTGCAGGCTGACAAATTCCTTCTCCCCATTGGGTAATATGTTGTAAAGCTCCTTGGCATGCAAGATGGGCGTCACCCCCTCCCAGAACTTGGGCTGGTACAGCACCTTGCGCCATGTCTTGCATACTTGTGCCAGCACACATTTTTCTGCCGTGGTGAAGTACCAGAGTAGTCGGTTGAGGAGTTTCTCATCCAGGACTAGCTGACGCTCCAGCAGTATGGGTTTGGGCAAAGTGAGGGGGGGAAGCTGACGAAGAGATGGCTTCAGCCCCACCAGAGGCTTCCCTGGCTCCAGGTCAGAGGGCAAGAGAGGTGCTGTGGTATGAGGCATCCCGGGGCTGTCCAAGTGATGCAGATGGTGATGATAGGGAAGAGAGGACGGCGGAGGAGGCAAGATGGAGGGCACAGAGGAGGACTGGCATAGACGGTTCTTAGCAGCAGGCGTCCCCTTGGTGATACTCGCACTGCCCAGACCGTTAGGCTGGCTGGGGGGCAACTTCACCATACCATTGCGAGTCATGCAGGGAGACTTCAGCTCACTCGGGGTGGACATGTTCAACATTGGGAACCTGCAGGAGAACGGGAAATACAGTCAAGCCTTCTGTCTGTAGGCGGTTAATACAAATGATCAAATTCACATAGTTGTGTCTGTCAGAACAGAGTAGGTTACTTTTGCAATGCCATCACTAGGCATGTCAAGATAACAAATGGTACTGTGCCAGAAATTATGGTGGTAAACAATAATATTGTTGTTTTGAGACCATTTTCAAGTAAAATAACAATAATGGCATGATAATGCAGGAACACATTGTGAAATATCAATAAACCTTAAATTCTAATGAACAATTAACACTAGAACTGTAAGGCATTTTAAGTATCCAAAATAAATGAAAAACAAATAAAATGCATCATAAAATCTATGTATACAAAATTGTCCTTCACAAAACGTGTCTGTTGAGACCAAAACACCAGACTGAAAACTTTAGTTGTCCAGTTTTTAGTAAATAGAACTGTGTTACAGTGGTCAAATTTGGCACCATTTTCTCAGAATTTTAGAATTCAGGGTGCCAACATTCATATGTCCATATCATCTTCATTTAGTTTTTTTAATTCCATGTGTTCTGAATCTACACTTTCACAATCTGTAAAACTGAATCTGAAAAACAATGAGTATAGCGGTAATGTTGGAGCATTATTTATTTAGGGATGCAGATTTACCTACTCCATCTAAACACAAGCCAGATATGTAATGTTGGAATTAGTGTACTCGAATTACATTGCACCTCTAAGGAAATTGTATTCACAAATAATTAGATATTTCTTTCCATCCACCAAACCAAAGTATTTCATTCTAACTCATTTTTGAACCTTTTATAGGGAGGATTTTTAAACAAACATTACATTTATACAAGAACATGAGGCAGGAGGTGGTGATCTTCCTGTGAGAAACTCACACTATAAAAGTAACATGAACAGCGTAAATGTGACATGAAAGTGAAAAAGGAAAAAAGAAAGAATATATCAATTGAGGTGCTATCTTATTGACTTTACACTGCCTTTCTTTTCTATCAGGCTCATACTCAGACTCAAAGCACTTTTCTCTTGGGAAGATCGAAGTGGTGCACTGCCTCCTACTTTAATTTCCTGTGAAAATATTTGTTAACTTAGATGAAAATAACTGCGGTACAAAAAGGCAGACAGTTTAAAAGCTGATAAAATGGACTTCACATAATTGACCATGAGAATTTTTTTTTAGATTAGAGGCAATTTAAGAGATTGCAATCCCTGGGGATTGCAAACCTTAGAGGTACCAAGTCCCTCTAAGATACCTCTAAGGTAAAACATTAGCTACAGCCTTTGGGACCAGCTAGCAAGAATTGAGGCTAAATGACAACAAGAGAGTTTCCACCTGCAGGTACAATAACTGCCTTTAACAGAACCTCATGTCAACAATCCTGAACTATTGGTATCTCTGCATACATTATAAACTCAGCTGTGTGTTTACAAAGCTCATAGCAGCATCTTGATTTGTCTTGGTCTAACTAGATAAACATCCTTCTATGTACCTGCTTATACTCTGCTCTGTTCTATTCTAGCGCTGAACATTGACTTATTGCTCAGTTTTGATGAAACCAGCAATGTTGCCTGGCAGCAAAAAGGTCCTGGGTTCAAATCCTGGCCTGGGATTTTTCTGCATGTGTCTGTGGGTGTGTGAGTGTGTGTGTTCTCCCAGTACGTGTGTGTCACAGCCAATCCTGGTCTATGTTTCATTTTTGTCTTTGTCTGCTATTTGTATTATTTTCTTGGTTCATTAGTGTCACTCAGCCACAGTGTTATTATCTGAAACAGGGAGCAGCCGCCTTTTCAATTCAAAGAGACGTTTTTGCTCTCAAGGTTACAAATTCAAATTTATCTAGAGTTGCAAAGAAATAAATGAAATGTTATTCTAAAAGCTAAAAAAAATAAATTAAAATGTATTTCTATTTTCAGATTTTTAGAACACAATGAAGCATCTGACTTTAACAAAGGAAGAAAAAAATGTGAACAAGGCAGAAATATGTCGAAAAAAAAAGAAGATATTGTAGCGAAAAAACAATGTGAAATTCTTTCTAAAAGCCTTGTACTGCTGGTGCCCTTCTGTTGTTACTAATCAATGAAGATATTCCATAAAACATATAGAAGAACATTTCCTATTGCTTTTATAATCAAAAACATTTCATTTTTGGTTTTTAAGAGCTGCATGTTGCTCTTTGGGCTGTGCTGCTCTCTGACACTCTGTATGATGACAGCCAGTAAACCACCAAAATCCACATTCAAGCAGGACTGTCAGCATCACTTTAGCTTGCGCAACTTTAGCAAATCTAGCACTTACTGTGTGCATTTTGAATTCAGACCAACACATGACCTCAGGGAGCAGGACGTTGACATTACGGATGTGCAAACCAATGTATCTGCAGCAACTATTTGGTTCTTTCATTATTAAAATTATGTCAAAAGTGGCAATATCATGTTTTTTCCAGACACAGAGAGCCATTTTACAGCATTATCTATCAACTGTGTTACCTTCAGTTGTTATACAAATGCTATACATATCAAATATGACTTAAAAGAATTTAATGTCTTGAAATTGTGAAGCAGAAGCTCGGAAATCTGGAAACCTAGAAGCCGAGGTTAAGTCCACCCAGGTGTTTTGCACAGCTGAATGGTTGCCATGGGAGATTAAAGGATTTCTCAAAACATGCATTAAAGAATCACAGCAACATTTCAGGTGTGTCTTTAATGAGGCAATAACATAATGTGATATAAAGCTCCAGAAAGTCAGATTTACATAACACTGCCTCTTCAAGATAGTAAAAACTCAGTTTTTGATATAGAAAATATTACAATTTGTTGAAACTATAAAACAAATAGTGATTAATTTTGAATGTGCACATAGAGAAACTCACAGGGACATCAGTCATCAACACTGATCAAGTCAACAGTGAAAACGCAAGATGCATCATGAAGGCGAGAGTTTGAGTCCAGTGAAAGATTAACATCCTATAAATTTGTGGCTGTTACATGACAGAAGCACTTCTGCAAGGTACCGTTAACATAATTATTGAAGAAATGAGGGGGGCGGGACGGGGGCAAGCTGTCTGTCCTCGGTTCCAATAAGAAACATTTGTTGTTTGACTGGAAACCAGACAGCAAACAAAGGAGTCAAACGGTTGAAACAATCATCGGCTTGCTGCTGAATGCAAAGCCTGTCTTTTGTCTCACAGCTTTCAGCGGAGGTGGACAAAGGATCCGAGTGAAAAGACAACATAGTGTAAATGAATGCTGGCCTCATCTAGCCTGTTCTCTATGACCTCATGGTATCTGTAGCTCATAGGCTCACACTGCTCCGTTACATAACCTGCTGACTATGGACCTTCTCTCTCACACACACGCTCACACCAATAACCCAACTGCTTCATATAAGTAAACAGAAAGGGTTATCACAACTCATTTTCACAATCCAGCATCATTTACCGTTTTATCACTCAGAATAATTCCAGTGTTCCTCCTCTGCAGCTACTGCTGAGTGGCTCCGCATCCACTGTAGCATAAACAAGCCTCATCCATTACATAATACAGCAGCTAGAACCGCTACAGCAAGCACCATGAAACACTACTGCAAACACACACCGCTCCCGTCAACTTCAGGGTGAGTCCACAAGAGACCGGAGGGCGACAACATGCTACAGGCTGATTCATTTCAATTCTTTTTTTTTTTTTCTTCTTTTTGCAGGATGCACATTTACGGCAAGAATTTTTATTGCCCCTCTTATTGTGTTATGTCAGGGGCCTGTTTCAGAGTGGGAGGCAGGAGCAAACAAAGCATCTGTGGCCTCGACTGGCAGGTTGCTGCCAGCAGAACGGAAGAAAGAAATGACATAAAAAATACTCAGATGAGAAGAGATTTTCATTGAAGAGCAAAATATACTGAACTGACAGCTTTAGGTGTAGATAGACATTTAATGTTTGCATACAAATTATTTATAGGCAAAATAAAGAATGAGTCTTGGTGTTAATAAGGAAGTCACAGTTCTCCTCTGCCTCCGTCTCTGAGTATCTCTACCAACCTCCTCAGTCACACCCACCCTCTGCATGCACTGCAGTGAAAAAGTATTTTCACCCTCCTGGTTCTGTGACCGCCGGCTAACACATGACAGCAGCTGCGGCTGCTGGCTTTCAAACGCCATACGAACTCTAAGGAAAATACTTGATACCTTTTTAATATCGCAGCATCATTTATTACAGGAGGAGAGTTCATTCTCAAGAACAGAAAAAAAGGAGAAAATATGATCAATTTAAGGCAAAACCAGTAAGTATGGGACACTTCAGTTCTCATTTTGAAAAAAATAAATAAAAGTTGACAACAGAAATTGTATCAATATATTAATTGAAAGTGGTCTTATTATTATTATCTATGGCAAAAAGAGAGAGGTTCTGTGACTGAGTCAGTGCTCATCAGGTCCGACCTTAAAAGTTTGAAGAGCTTAAAATAATTCTATGTTTGTTTGTCTCTCAATGTCAGCTCCATGATGGTGGTCAGTTCTGCCTGACCCACCCTGAGTGGGTCAAAGGTCACGTGTGTTTGAACATCTGTCTCAATCTCATCAGCTGTCAGATACCAATACAAAGTCACCATGTTCCTGCCCCTGATGTAGAGAGATGGAAATTGGTCAGGATGTATCTGTTTTGATTATTTATTTATTTACTAAGGTTATTTTTGTCCAGATCAAAGATAGCCAACATTAAAGTTGGACAAAACAGCTCAAACAGAAGACATATGGAACTTTTCCAGGTTTTCCAGGTTGTCTGTATAAAAAAAGTGCAAATGAAAACATTGGGTTTTTTAAACTGCTTCTGAGATTGGAGTTAGCTCTCCAATCATCACTGCTCCCAATGAAATTATTGTACTTACATCTCTGCTGGGTTTTTGCATGCTTTTTTAATATATTGGCAACAATATATGAAACAGTGCCTCTGTTTTTTAAGGCACAAATAAAAATTTTGACTCGATGCAAAAATGCTGAACCAT